TATATATAGCGGGGCAATTACTAATACCAGTCACTACTCAGTTGATCTCCACTATCAACCATAGTTACCAAATCTCCCTCTAGTAAGCGACATCGCTCAGTTTGGCAATAACTGGCTTGGACTTAGACTAAAAAGCTGGATTGATCAGACTCTTTTTTTAACCTATTTGAAATAGAACTGTTACCTAAGTAATTTTTTTCTTGTGAATAGGAAGCTTGCATCTCTTTTACAGGTCGAGGACACGCCTACCAGCTCTTTGCAAAAGACAAATAGTTGGAAACCTCAGTGCATGATGGTAGATTAAAAAAAAAAAAGATCATTTTCGTCAACGACTTTCATTCAAGGATCACGAAATTAAAAAACTATTATAATTAGTTTTACTTGCCTTTAATCTTGTTAAGACTCACCCATCGCCATATTAGCTCAGAACAACAGGATCGAAGGGTCGATTGAAAATAAAAATGTCGTAATCGAATTCAACAACCTGTATTCATGAAGCGCAAAATTTGATATTATTCATCTTCTGTTTCCTTAATCTTGTATCACTTACCCTTCCATGTTAACTAATATGGACAGGACCGTCTATATGAAGTAAGCAGTGTCTATGGATAAGTAAAATGTTTACAATCTCCGAAAATTAATGCCATGTGCTAAGTCATCCCCAAAATGATGACCTGAGTAAAATATCTAGCTACTTGATTTTGATTCCCATATCGTTGTTATGTTTTGTAGGCTATTGAGGTAGCAAGTGATAGTTATGAAGGGCATAGAGCATGTTATAGAACTTGGGCATGCACTGCAAAAATAAGTGCAACTGTTATATCATTATACATCTTTCAATGTCCGTATGGTTGCACGATCCCTTACGCATCCCCCGGGCGTCATCGGATCGTGTTGCCCAGTACAGTGAGTTGTTGTTTTGACTTGACCTACTTCCTTCCAATGGCGTCTTTAGTTACACTGCTCCATTGTCACGTGACGCCCTCTCCGCGCAATGATGCATCTACCTACGCCACGCTGCCCCACACGTAATGACAAAGCGGCCCTGTTGTAAGAAGTCAGTCCTACATAGTAATATAGCAGTAGCCGCAAAAGACGTACTCTTTGGCTCAGAACAATACATTTACTTGTACCGTTGGCGTGGGTTAAGAATTCAGTCTGAAGTTTGACAGATGAATTGCTTCTATCAGGACAGTAGTCGGTTTATAACACTATACAAATACTTTGAGTATTTTAACCCATTCACTACCGGAATTTTGATGCACTGGTTGGACCTTTCGCCGTGTCCACAAGTGACATGAGATCGATTATGTTGTGTGGGAAATAGTTTCTCTCGAACCTTTATAGCTCAGACAGTTCGAGTTGGTCCTGATAGCACAAACGAAACAGTCTGAATGCTAAAAAATGGGCCTTTTGCTTATAGCATAAAAAGACTTGGATACCCCCCAAAGGGAAGTGTACTTTATCAAGTATCTCATACCAGCGTCTGTAGTGGTATAGCGTTTAGGCGCTTTGCCGTCTAAAGAAGAGATGAATCAATTCGCGAACACAGAAATACTCAATAAAATAAACTTGTCCTTTTGGGAATCGAACTCACGTATTTTGGGCGCGACAGTGTAGTGGGCATATCTAAACAATGCACTGCCTATTTTACTTAACAGCCTTCGCATTAGACAAAACAGATCCTGGGTTCAATTCTCAAATCTGATATAAGTTAGTCCATCGAACATTTTCATCTTTCAGCTGGGATTTATACACAATACAGTATAGGTCAGCTTTACAAGAACTCAGTTTTCTCTTCATTGGTGTCCAGATAAACATCAAATTCTGCTCGTACTTCTTCTATAAAGTCGTGACCATTTCCAGAGTAGGGGTGTTAAATCCAAAAATTATATTTTGTGTAGAATAATAACCTGGATTTTATATTGTAAGCGTCCACGTCCACATGGTGTTTTTATAATTATAGAAAACATCAACGAAATAGTGAAAACAATAATAATCTTTTCTTGCATCAGAGTAGTCTGGTAAATAAACTTTAACTATCACATTCAATGTATATCATTATTATCATCCATCACAGATAGGCTAACTTAGGAATATGCCCTGAGCAAATAACTTTTACTATTTTCAAAAACTTAACTCTGGACTTAACTGGGAAACAGCCATATGTTACAAAGTTTTAAGAATGCAAACTAAGGGTTTTTTTTTAGACCACACTTCGCTCTGTTGCCATGCATCTTCCTATCAGAGCTGTTGATAGGCAAAATATGTCTGCTTTTTCGACATGCTCAAGGCTGAAGTATAACAATGGACCCTTTGAGTAAATGCGAAAGCATCACTCATTTGCGAAAACGGATACGTTTATTTTGAAGTGTTACATATCGTAGTGGGTTGAAGGTCGTTGTGTTCCTCTTCTGTGTATTTTGTTATCTTGTTAAAAGCCACGTGGCAGAATGGATTGGTAAAAGATAACCCCATACAGATTATGAATCAAGTCACGATCCAACACCTGGTGAATGAGTGTCCTTTTTCAATTGTTCTGAGAGGCGGAACGAGAGAGAGAGAGAGAGAGAGAGAGAGAGAGAGAGAGAGAGAGAGAGAGAGAGAGGGGGGGAGTGAGAGATTGTGTGTATGTGTGTGTTTGTGTGTGTATGTGTATGTGTGTGTGTGTGTGTGTGTGTGTGTGTGTGTGTGTGTGTGTGTGTGTGTTATCTGTGCTCACATTTTACCCCCACCCCCTAACCACCTACGCCCCCTCCTCTGGGCTCCTGACTCTTTCTGCAGCCTTTCTACTGCTATTCCCTGGTTCCTTCTTACTCCTGTCTTTCAGCCACACCCCTGATCTTATTGTAGAAAATATCTACACTTTTAATCTACACATACACTCGGACAAGTTAAAGATGCCATGGTGGTCCAAAATCATTAAAAATTGGCTACGGCCGCCATCCGGGCAAAATTCAAAAATTCCTTCTAATTGAAAATGTGTCCTGCGCGCTCCTATGACTTTATGCAGTTGCAAGTCCCCGTAAAACACTTTCCAGAAAAAGGAGATCATGATAAATAAAAAATTGGTTTAAAAGTAACGTTTATTGAATCCATGATTACGTCTCCTGTACAACACTCCGGGATCTCGATTAGACTTGTGTGGGAAACAAACAGAATGACAATGACAAATCTTCGGGTGAATACGTTTTTCTAGTACTAAAATCTGAACGCATATTAATATTTACATCTGAGCAGCTACTCATATCAAATTTGGAATAAAAACAATAATGTATACACCAGTAAACAGGGTATAGATTTATTGTTTTTCGAATTCCCTTATTGTCTTCACTGCTTTAACATTCATCGATAACAACAAGGGATTGAAAACAGTCTGCAGTTGATCACGGTTGAGATATCGGATGACTTAGCCTCCAGTTTCATACGTGAGAAATGGTTCATCCTGCACAGTTGGATCAAATGACCTAAAGTTCCTATATAAACCTGATGGAGACACTTGTTCGGCAACTGTTAGGCAGTGCTTGGGCGAAAGCATCGAGCTCTGCAGTTTCAGGTTAGCGCTACGAGAGCAGCTTCTGTCTTCGTTTTCTTCTTCAGCGTGTTTGCGATTTTAGAAAGAGACCGAGATTGACTTCTCTTCACCCAAAGTCTTGTTCCAGCATTATCAGCACTCAAACAGTCATTTCTGTTGCACTATTTCCAGCATTTAACGGCAAAAGTTGCTCAATCAACGTCAATACGTTAACTATTCACAATCCTCGTTTTCCTGCCTATACAATATCTACCTAGGGTCTGCAATAATCACCACCATGGATCGCCTGGTATTTTGGCTTATCCTACTGTCAGTTGCGGTCAGTGTGTCCAGCATGCCGACAGTACCGGGCATCAGAGTGTGTAAGCCGGCCCTGCAGGAATTCAAGTTGTCCGGAGGAGCGGAGAAGTTCCGACTGTTGAGTCCTAACTACGACCGCCAGCTTCCGCCGGATGGGGAAGAGTGCACAGTCACGTTTGGGGATTCCAAGGAGACAGTCATGATTAATGTCACGTTCAGGTGTGTATTTACATGTACAAACTCACTGTTGGCATATACTGATTATAAATGGCCTTGTCAATCGTCCTTGAGAATAGTTTACGGTCTGAAAAAAAATCAAAACATTACGTTAAGTCGAAGGTTTCAACGCTTGTCAATCGCCCTAGTTACAGTTGTAAAAGGGAAATCCAAGTATTGCGCTGAGCAGATAATTAAAATTGTGCAGAAAAGTAGCTTTAATGCCTGCCAAAGTAATGAAAACGGTAAAGTCCGAAGACTGCATCATCACTGTTTATTTTGGATAGTAGGAAGATTAGACGATCCAAACTTTGTCCACTTCAAATATCTTGGGTAAGGTATGAAGAATCATAATAAATGTGGTGACTGCCGTGTAAAAACGAACTCACTAACATTTTGAAGCATTATAACTGATGACGCCAGTTTTACACAAAAAACAACAACGTTGACTTACATTTTTTTCTTAGAAAATCGTTGTAAAGCTGGTGAGTTCAAGACCCAATACTGCTAACATTGCACAGCAGTGTACTAACAAGTTTATCCAAACTTTATTCATTCTAAAGACTAACCTATGCAATCCTTTTTACCTATTTCACCAGAGTATTTTCCACCCAGTCGGGCCCGGATTGCTCTCTGTGTGTGGGCGGCGTTCAGCTCTGTGGGACACAGCCCGAGGGAAAAACCTTTTCCTACATCGTACCTCCGCAGATGAGTTTCACCTTCGCCTTCCTCCCAAACAAAGACAGCAACAGTGCCAGATTTAAAGTAAGATAACATGACCTACCTATTGTCAAGGTTGATTTGAAATGTGTCTTCTATGTAGTTTATCCGAATTTTGGGACTTGGAGTTTGTTTTTCACAAAATGCATAAAGACCTGGGACCTAAAAGCTCTCGCGTGTCTTTTTGTCAGGTGATACTATGAGACAGGAGATAATGGCAGTTAAAAAGATAAAAATAAAAATGGACTTTTTGAGTAAGCCTAAAAAAGGGGAGAGAGAGAGAGGGAGAGAGAAAAAAAAAAAAGAGAGAGAGAGAGAGAGAGAGAGAGAGAGAGAGAGAGAATGAGAAAGAGAAAGACAGACAGAGACAGAGAGAGACAAAGACAGAGACAGAGAGAGACAGACAGACAGTCAGACAGAGGAAGAGACAGAGAGGAAGAGAAAAAAAGTGAGGAAAAGAGAGAAAATGTCTACACCCGTGAGCACAATAAATGTCTTGGTCCTTTACATTAGTCAAAGTACAATGAAAAATAACTGAGAACAAAATAAATAAATATCGTGTTACATTATTATGCACACACAAAAGAAATACCCCCCCCCCCCCCACTTACACACACACACACACACACACGCACACATACACATTCACATATACATACACGCCAACACTCATACTTATTTTCAGATGTACACACACGCATACACACACGCACTCACACATACTTATTCACTCACTCACGCATGCATGCACGCACTTACCTCTACCCTCCCTCTCTCTCTCACACACACCCTTACACAGACACGTACCATTATTATATTATTATCAATCTCTTTTCTTTTGCACATTGTCTTCCAACATTATTCGTGTATTTACAATACTTAGCTTCTTTTTGCAGGCAAATATTGAAGTGCAAAAGTACGATGGACAGGCAGTTGAAGATTATCAAGATCGTGGTGCTTTCTTCGTATCGCCCGAATCTGTAAGACTGCTTATTATCTATTCTTTTTTAAACATTCAAATACTACTACTACTACTACTACTACTACTACAACAACTACAAATACAACAATACTACTACTACTACTAATACTACTACTACTAATACTACTACTACTACTACTCATACTGCTGCTGCTGCTGCTTCGACTGCTACTACAACTAATAATACTACTGCTGCTGCTGCTACTACTACTACTACTGCTACTACTACTACTACTACTGCTAACAATAATAATAATAATGATAATAATAATAAAAATAATAATTATTATAATTATAATAATAATAATAATAATAATAATAATAATATTGATAATAATAATAATTTTTAAAAAAATAATATTAAAAAAAATAATAATGATGAAATATCATTACATCTAACGATTCTCCAAAAACTACATTACATGATTTTTCTTGTATTCTTTATTCTCCAGAGTGTGAAGGAGACGGAATTCCAGTACTCGGACTCCTGTAGTAGACTCATCTACCTTGAATCGCAGGATGTGCAAGATTCCTCTAAATATAGCTATAGCAATATAGGGGAGGACATCGCACAAATTCAGAATGAGCTGAGTATCGGTAAAGAGAGGGTGGACGAGGCGTTGGCTCTCATAGACGCTAAACTGCAAGTTTTCATTTATTCTGGAGTAAACCAATACGATAATGATATTCAAAGTTTGGAGAAAATCAGAGAAGATTTAGTGCAGACTGAAACTAACATTCGCAACGCGCAAGCTTTAACCGAAAAGGACTTTAATGAGGAAAGCATAGCAAAATGCGAAAATTTGTTAACGCAAGCAAAAAGACACGTTTCACAGGCTTTGAAATTCATGAAAGCTTTGACCAGTAGCTACGAAGTCAACTACAGCAGCAGCGAAAATGATAAGAGAAGCAGTGATGAGGACGATGTTAAAAATAACGACGACTGTTACGGCGGAGATGAGGGATCAAGAAATATCAAAACGTTGCTGGAAAAAGCCGATAAAAATTTTGATAACGCTCTAGAGATCCTCAACAGTCTTTCAAATCAGTATACGGCCGACTGCGACAACAGTCAAAACGATGAAAGCGATGGCTCAGTTAGTGAGGAGGAACAACCGAGTTTGACACAAAGACGTTTGGAAATTGCCCGCAGACAACTGAATAAGGCTCTGAAGTCAATTACTAGTATTGTAGATTATTACACCAATTTAGGTGACTGCAAAGAGCATGCCAATGATCTAGAACAGGTAAAAGATCAACTTATTGAGTCCAGGAACAAAATAAATGATGCCCTGGAAATCCTACGCAGTCAGCCAGATCCTTATGCTATTGAATACGCAGGAGACAATCCTGCAATAGAAAAACTCCGTGATATATTTATAACCGCTCGCAATAACATCAGCAAATCTCGTAAGATCATACAAGCCTTGGAAGCCTTAGGACGAAAAGACTTCCCAGCTAATCTGTTGAAAAATGCTCTTAAAAAGGCTACAACGAATATCAACGCTGTTCTGCTATCATTGAATGGGCAATCGACCCGAGATTCAGAAGAAGACGACAGCCCCGATAATGCATACAACGGGAGCGACCAATCAGTAAGTTTGTTGGAAACCGTTGTGAAACGTGCTCTTGACGATATAGAAAAAGCCAGCGAGTGTGTTGTCAAGATGATTGATTCTTATATCTCTGCCAATGATTACTCAAATGTCTACGCAGGAGAGGTAGGGGAGCTGAAACGACTAAGTGATCAAATGGAGAATGCGAAAACAAAATTATACAAGATTGTGGAACAAATTAGCACCCTAACTGATCCTTATCGCTTTGACCACTCAAGTAACACTGTTTTGGAAGAAGTCAGTGATGTTTTAAAACAAGCTCAACAAAATGTCGAAAAAGCTCAAAAGATAGTTGACTCCTTTGGCGACGCGTACAGCTTTGTATATGGAGGGAACGACTTTCCTACAGAAGTTTTGAAAAGTTCTCTTCGTCGAGCTGAAAAGAATATAAAGTTTGGCATGCTCCTTATGGACAAGCTTTCAAACCCTTACGGAAATGTGTACCAACCTACCGATTTAATGTTTGGTTTCATACACGACCGTTTGATGCTATCCAGCTACGAGCTGCACAATGCTCTTGCGACTATTAATAAAATGCTAGACTCGTATAGTGCTTCAAACGAATATTCAAACGTATATTCTGGCAACACTGTTGAACTTGAGCGTGTCCGAGCGCAGCTGGAACAGGCAATTAAAAATATAGACACAGCCCTGTGCTCCTTTTCAGATCCATATTCCTTTGACTACGTAAGCGAAACTGATGTTATAGAAAAAAGCACTAATGTGTTACAAGACGCGCAGTCAGATATTACTGACGCTCTTAAAGTCATCGATTCAATTGGAAAGGCCTACAGCAGTGAGTACAACACAGTTTATGCTGGAGACAACATCCCAACGGATGTCTTAAAAGAAAGTCTCAACAACGCTAGAAAGAGCGTCAACGATGCCATGCGTCTTATGGAACTTTTCTCAAGCCCCAGTTCCTATGATGGACAAGAGCAACAGTTAATGAGTTTGATGCGGCAGTTGTTGAACAGTGCGCTTGGGGAATTGAGGGAGGTCCAGAAGATTGTCCTCAACATTCTTGAACCATACAGTAGTTCAAACCAGTATTCCAACGTTTATGCAGGTGACATCTCCGTGCTCAAACGTATGGCCAAACCACTAAGGGAGTCCAGAAAAATAATTAAGAATGCCTTGAGAATAATGCTTGCGGAGTCAGATCCCTACAGCAGTTTTGATATCGGAAAATTTAAGAAAATGTTGTTGCTCGCTCGAAAAAACATGAACAAAGTTAACAAAATTTTGAACTCCTTGGGAGATACTTACAGCAACAATTATAGCTCCTTGTACGGAGGAGATGTTGTCCCAGCTCTGGCCATCAAACGAATGCTGAGACGGACTAGAATTGATATCAACCGAGCTGTGGAGTTGGTGGCAGCTATTCAGAACCCATACGGAAATGCATATGAAGCTGCTTTTTGGGAGAACATTGACAGTCAAGTGACCACGGTCATAAGAGAAATAAATTATGCTGTGCGACTCCTGCGATCGTATCAAACTGATAAAACGGTTCAGCTGAGAGTGAAGAACCAATTGGATGCAGCTGAAGCGGACATTGACTCCTTGCTGGAAGCTCTCAGCACTCTTGCCCCAGATTCGTACTATAGCGATGATGACAAAGCTCTTGAAAATGCCAGAAAGTCTCTCAAAGATGCCAAGAAGCAAATCAGGGAAGCCTCAAAGTGGATGAATGTTCTGACAGATCCGTATGTTGCCAACGGAGAGAATTCGTTAAACAAGGTCAAGATTTCCTTGAGGAAAGCCAGTAAGGATGCCAGGGCTGTTAAGGATGCTGTTGCTGACATTACAAACTCTTATCGTGGGCAAGACTAACCCTTGAGGTTTACTTGTTTGAGGCAGATCTAAGAACTACAGTGATAAGGAAATATTGAATAGTTTCCTTTCGGTGAAATTTCGTTTAATTTAAATACATTTTGAAATCGTGGACCCTGATCTTTTACTAACGCCATTTTAGGAAGTGTCAAAGGATAGCCATTTGGGTTATACTTCGGCATTTCGAAGAAAATATTATTTTGTTTCTCTTTAACGAAGACTGACACTAAATTTTTACTTCAACAGAATCTTTGATGAGAGAATGACTAACTGGAAAGAAACAGTCCTTAAAGTTATTTCTTTTCTTCCAAAAACTGACAATAAAACCATAAAAGAAATGATTTTACTCCCACCCTATGTTGTGTCATCATGGCCTTTTTTTCATTTAGTTCCTACCTGCTGTTTACGAATACTGCTGCGTGCGGATAAATAAATATACTTCAAACTTACCCAAATGGATTCGTGTTGTTATTCTGTTCAATGTCTACAAGTAGGGCACCCCTGAGAGTACTAGTAGCCAAGTAAACCAACACGACCAGGGTTGTTGTAGCAAAAGTGGACGACAGCAGAAAATGAGGGGTGGGGGGTGGGGGGGGGGGGGTGGGGGTTGGGAGGGGCGGGGTGGTGTGAGAGGGGAAAAATATGAATTACATCTTGGTACTTTTTCTCAGACTATCTTTTTTTGCCCTGAATTCTTGTCTAAGGACCAGAATAAGTATCCACTTTCTGCATTAATAGGTGGAGTATTATCGAACCGTACTAGTTATTGGAAATAATTATTGCCTCTTCCATCTTTATTCCACCAAGATACCTTCAGGTGGACGAGTGTATCCTTCAGCCCACAGTACAACTGACTTTTATTTGTCCATTTCATTTCTAGTCTGAGACATTGTGTCCCCTGCCCCTCAGAAAACACCTTATACCCTAATCTAGGTCAACCTTAACTATTCTATAAGAGCTTTGTCTGTTCTGGGCAGTCTTCACCTTTTGTTTCGTTTCGGTAAATGTCACCTGTTCAAGTCGGGTACTTGATTGTACATAGTATTATTAATATTGGTATAATCTGAGAACTCCTCGGCCTTGTACGAGAATGCTGACGCTGGACGATCAATGCTATAATAACAGACAAACCTGAGAGCCTGGGAGAAATTAACCGTGTAAAAAAAACCCACACAACCCCCACCCCCCCAAATAATATGCATAAAAAACATCTTATCAAAACAAATAATAAACGTATGCTTTCTCGCTCTCTCTCTCGCTCTCTCTCTCTCTCTCTCTCTCTCTCTATCTCTCTCTCTCTCTTTCTCCCTCATTTTCTCTCTCTCTATCTATCTCTCTCTACGCCCCCCCCCCTTTTTCCCTCTCGTGTTATCTTTTTCTTGCACACTCTCTCTGCCTCGTTTCTGTATCCATCTCCATCTCTCTGTCTTTCTGTATCTCTCTCTGTCTCTCTCGTGATTTCAGGGCATCATATGCACTGAGAACGAAAAATAGCCTTATGGAGCATGGATACTGATATCTAACATAATGCTTGGGTAAAAACTGCAACTGCTTATTTAAGGGAGGTTTAAAGTAGACCAAACAGTAGCATGGCGTTCATATGGTTTATTCTTGACAGTTTGCCTTCCTTGTTCCCACTTTTAAGGCTTATGATTTAGTAGAATTTTGTAAGAGAGAGATAGAGATAAAAATAAAAAGAGACATATAGATGGAGAGAGAGAGAGGGAGAGAGAGAGATAGATAGATAGATAGATAGATAGATAGAGAGAGAGAGAGAGAGAGAGAGAGAGAGAGAGAGAGAGAGAGATGGAGAGAGAGGTGGTAGACATGGGAAAAGACAGACAGACCGAATTTGAAACGGGCAAGTAGACTGACAGAAAGACATAGACATACAGAGAAATGAACAACTAGAGAGGGGGGAAGAGATAGATAGATAGATAGATAGATAGAGAGAGAGAGAGAGAGAGAGAGAGAGAGAGAGAGAGAGAGAGAGAGAGAGAGAGAGAGACTGAGAGAAAGAGTGAGAGAGAGAGAGAAAGAGAACCAGAGAAAGAGAGAGAGATCAAGAAAAAAACAACTTTACTTTACTTTCATCTGCCGCTTTTACCCTTTTGGGTGTCGCGGGAAGAAAGTCTCTCTGCCAACAGCCGGAGAGCTTGGGTCTGGGGGATGGGTGGTTAATTTTCCCCTGACTCCATCAATCCAGGTGTTTCTCGGTCGCCCTCTAGCCTTGAAGCCAATGAAAATTTTGATGTAGGGATGTTGTGCTGGATGGTGTGTTGGTAATCGCATGAGATGTCCGAACCATTTATGATTCTTTGGTATTGGATGTGATACATGACATCATTTGTGCCCACCATTTCTCTGACACCTGAGTTTCTCATTTTGTTTCGCCTGGTCTTGTTTACTGCTTTTCTAAGACATTGCATTTTACATATTATAATTCTTTGCTCCAATGTCTTGTTTATGGTTCATGTTTGGCATTGATATGTGAATGTTGGGAGGAATATGAGGTTGGTCATTTTGAGTTTTGTTGCCATTGGGATGTTAGGATGTTTCAGTAGTGGAGTAAGCTGGTAAGTAACATTATTGGCCTTTTGTACTCGTGTTTCAATTTCTTTGTTTAGTTGTCCATCCTCTGCGAATATACTTCCGAGATACTTAAATTCTTGGACCTGTCTGAGACTGTTGTTGTTGATGTCTATCCAGAGTGGTCCTGGATTTTAGTTTTGTTGATGTGATCTCCGTGTCGTAGTTGTTACATTCTTTATTTAAGCTGATGGTGTGGTGTTGGAGACTTTGTTCTTCTTTGTGTACCAGGCTTTGGTTATCTGGTTTTGTGTTGGCCTCTTTTGTAATTCTATCCATATATGATAAATAATAGTGGTGATAGGACACAACCTTTTCTTACTCCGGATGTTATCTCGATTCTTTCTGTGAGTCCCTCTAACGTTCTTACTCTACTTATGCTGTTTTCTTAAATGGCACGGAAGTTATCAAGAAGTTGGCTTCTAAAATTTAAAAAGGGAAAGAAAAAGGTAAAAAAAGAAAGACAGCGAGAGAGAAAGAGATAATTTTTGCTTGAACTGAGGGTGGTATGCCATTGAGAGACACCGATGCACATGTAGAATAGTGTAGCTGTCAAAGGTCTCTAGTGACACTACGTCTTGGCCGGAGAGGGGACAACTGACAATAGGTATGTCGTGTTGAGACTGATCCTAGACTCATACATCAGTGCATGTCGCCCTTCACTGACCAGCACGGTGGTCATCTGTCAGAGGTCGGGCTGGTGGCTTGTAAGTCTGTAGCAATGTGACGTAGGCACTTGTCACAACAGCAGGTACCTTTTTGCTTGCTTGTGATCAGTGCTGGGGGCGAGAGGAGAATATGTGAGAGAACAATGAGATGTGTGGGGGAAATTGGGGGAGATAGGGGGGGGGGTTGGAGCAGAGAAATTTGA